ATTGTAGGACCTCTACCAGAATCTAATGGACGTGCTTACCTTTTCACTTGCGTGGATCATTTTCCGCGACGGCCAGAAGCAGTACCTACTAAGAATATTACTGCTGAAACTGTCGCCCATGTTTTCGTTCGAAAGATGGATCGCTAACTTAGGATGTCCATCTTACCTCTCATACGACGGTGGGCGCCGATTCTAGTATGGACTATTTCACTCTCCAACTGCATCTTCGGGTTATACTCGGCTCCAAACTTTATACTATCATCCACAAGCAAGTGGCATGGTAGAGCGTTTCCATCGACAGCTGAAAGCTTCCCTTACATCTGCAAACATATCTCATTGAACCGATGCCCTGCCTCTGGTTCTGCCGGGTATTCGTAATGCGTTGAAAGCCGATACGGGATGCACCCCTGCAGAACTCGTCCACGGGACCACTCTTCGCCTACCAGGTGAGTTTGTTTCCCCTTCAACTTTCAAACATGTTTCCGACAGGGCGTCGTACGTGACCGGACTTACAAACGCAACGCACTCAGTTAGGCCTTCTCCGGTTAGACCTCAAACGACTAATGTCTTCGTTCACCCCAGTTTGCAAAAGACATCACACGTGTTTATTCTCCACAACGCTGTTCGTCGACCACTTGAACCACCCTACGACGGACCATTCAAAGTGATCAAGCGACACGAGAAATTCTATATAGTTGAGCGAGACGGACGTGAAGGTACTGTCAGTATCGACCGTTTGAAACCAGCTTATTTCGAAGGCAACCCCATTATAAGTGGCGTTTCAGCTCGCTACAGCCGACCGACGGGTAGCTCAATTATCGAAATTCTTGACGATGTGCCCGGTAATGCACAGTTGCGACAGCCATCGGTGCAACAGAAAACACGATCAGGTCGAACAGTCAGGTTCCCGGAGTATTTGAAGTCGTATTCAACTTGGCGGTGTAAAACGAATGTGCCAACCGTATTTCTTTTACCTACAAAATCTTTTTTCCGAGGCACCATTTTTCTTATTTACCGGCAATGCGCAAATCCTCGTACATTTTGCCTTGTTATATCAATTTTGTACTACAACGTACCCAAACTTTTTCAAAAGAATGTGAAAATAAGCGTGGACTTTATCTTCTATATATTTATATATAAGTGTTTCCCGTTCCTACGAAACGTTTTTGTGGTGTTGTAGACTTTTGTTCATATTGAAGTTGCAACGAACACTGGACGGGACGTCAAAAAAACTGGGGACTGCGATCGGCATACAGTTCGATTTATCGTATTTTATTTTTCAATTGCCACGACACCCTGGAATAAGTTCGAACAGCCAGGGGCCACTTCATGCAGTGAGCCCATCGGAAGAGTTTTACCAGTGGAGAAACCACTGGGTTTTCACTTCCGGCTGGTATCGTCTTAGGGTCATCACAACCCCACTAGGGGAGGAGCGATCTGTGGTGTCACACACTTCCCCAAAATCAGTAGCCTAGTGTTTGACGACACTCAACATTGATGCTGACCTTGATAGTTTAACTGGACTCGCCAAGCTGAAGGCACCTGGTCAAGCATCCCCGCCATTTGGCACGCTGTTGTGTTACGCTGCACTGCTCATAATCGACTCTCTAGCCAGTTAGTTGGAAGGCATCGGTATCTTGGCACAACCACCCAAATATACTATTATATCCGACTACGCTATTGTGTTCTTCCATGGTCTCGCATTCCTGGGTGCATAACTAGTCCGAATAATTAGCGATTGGTCTTTGTGTCTGTCAAGTTCTCACGAGGACCATTTTTGAAAATCTGATTCCTAGGAAATCTCTTCGCCTTACTTTTCACGTTACAGGACTCCGGCTACCTAGCATGACTGCGTCCACTCTCACGTTTCATCAATTGCTGTTGAAAATATTCTCATTTATTCTTCCTTGGACTCCGGAAAAATTCTATGCTGTCTTACGCTGGATTTCGAAGGCTGTTTCTAGCAAGTGGCACACCCCTAACCAAGCTGATGAATGTAGTAGTGGAGAGGTATGTGAACTCTTGTAGACTCCTGGCTTCAAATTCACCGTTTGATGACAAGCATCCTCCGCATGCGCACCGCTCTCCATATCTGTCCTCTGCGAAGACAAGAAGCAAGTATATTAAACTCTAAGCACTCACAACCACTTACGAAAATTCAGCCGTGCCCTATTTACCTTGTGTGTTGTGTGAGGGAAATCTTGTTAGACATAGCCTTATCAATCAGATGTATAAAAGTGAATGGCTATCATGCCGCTGAAGTCATCAATCATCTCGATAATCCCGTTATTCGGTACCCTTTTATAATACGTTGTCAAACGAAACTGCTGACAATGTTTTAAAAATGTTGTACTATGAGCAAAATTGATGCACTAATGCACGCTTAGAATCCCGTACTGTAGACGTAACTACGATGGGGAATAAAGCAACTATATTATTTCGATTATTACGCCCTTCCAGCTGTGACATGAAATGGGCTAAAAGCAGCAAACTAAAGTGATGTGGTTCCAACACGAGTGCTTCGGTCCTAACTCCCTTTCTCTGCCAATATCATCATGAAGCCAAATTACTCATAATCCTGCAGATTAGACTTTTTGCCTTTCCGGTTACCGTGCCACTAACACAGTCACTGGTATCTCAGCCTCAATGTTCAGTACGGCAATCTTCCCTGCTCCTTCCCCTTCCTCTGAACCTTCGCGATTCCACCCGATTCATTATTGTTCTCCAGATCCCCTTTTTTCATCATCCTTCAAGAAATTACCAAGGTTTTTCATTTGTTTTCATCTCACTTTCCTTGCCTTTTTCACCTCTTCCCCTTTGTACCACAGTGTTATCGTTTCATTCCCCTTACCTCCTTTTTGTGACCAGTCCAGATACCTCTCTGCTCTCCGAAGAACCCAACTGCACTACGGTCTTAGAATGAATCCTTTAGTTTCTTATAAATTTCATAAACATTTGCAGAAACTGAAAAGCTGTACGAGCGTGCAGAGTCGTCGCCCCAAAGTCGTGGGAGTCTAACAATTCCCACTCCAAGTGACGCATCAGCGAAGTCTTCAATTCTTGTATCGGTACAACCGAGACGATCTAACGGAGCTGAATAGTCCGAAGTGTTGAGGACACAGACTGGAGTAGATAGTGAAAAGGGTGGACCAGAAGCATCCGGCTACCAGACTCAGTACCCTGCACTCCTGGGACAGGAGAACAGGCCCTATTATTTCGTTCAATATCATCACACCAACAGACCCACTCTTGGTAGAAAGAGAGCGGTATGGCAAGAGTAAACAGGATGACTACCGCAACGATCTAGAAATAGAACGCATTGCGGTTAGCTAATGTGGAGCGCCTCGAAACAAGCCATCACCTCCCGGGGTGTCATCGATGACATAAAAACAGGTGGAGGATATACTGTTGCTGTCAAGTTGACCAGACACTGAGGTGCCTGCAAGATAAACGATGGATCACTGGAGAGGAGGAACGAAACTCCTCCATCAGCGATCTGCATAAAGCCACGACCTCGGTGGGCCATGGAATACATGAAGTTGTGGGTGGATCCATCAAATGTGATCATTACCTCCCTGGTGTCAAGCAGCGGAGATAGGCAGCGGCAGAGGTGAGGCTAAGAAATTCGCCTGCCAGCGGTGGAAGTTAACTGCCAAAACTCGCTCACCTGCAGAGTATCTCTTCACCCAGATTGCTGGCTGTGAACTGTGACTCTAAGGCATCGCGCGCAAAGGCCCTAGCAGCATAGTATCGCGCAAAAGATCAAATGGGAGTGATATACGGTGCTATGAAAGTAAACCACAGGTCGCTCGACCGGGAGATAGAAGGCAACCTCTAAGACAGCGGTAGACAGTGTCAGTTACGGAAGCACTGTCTGTTGGGCTGGTGCCTATAGGCACAAAGATGAACGCTACCACTGTGAAAACACTAGTTCAGTAGATACTGGCAGTTAGAATCTGGTGCAACGCATGCTAGTCCCCACACAAGTTCCCGCGTCTCACAAGGCCCAGAACGTAGCCCCCTGATATGCTTCTACGGCAACGTAGGAGGTCCTAGGAGCAGACTACCGGAGTTACGAACCATGTTCCAAGGTCCGCACGCAGACATAGCTCTCATCAGACATCGTGGATCAGCAAATACCTTTGCCCAACATGGCCTTGTTCCGAAACGACCGATAGTTCAAAGGAAGCGGAGGAGTAGCCATTGGTACATACCTAAGAGTTAGGATGGAGACTGATGATGTGTTTGGCACATCTCCAGTCTTCGTGGCGGTATTTCACTACAAAGCAAACGAATTACTTATTAGGAGTGTTATGCAGGCCTACTCTATGCACCACAGAGCATAAGACACGCTTAACCATTACCATTTCGAGGTCCACCCACGACCATCCTATGACCACGTAGTCTTCACTGAAGACTTCAGCATGTTGGCACTCAACCGAAGATGTGCAGTAAGCCTAGGGTATAAATATTTTGAACACAGACTTCGAAACATATTTATAGCAGCAGGAGCAACAGGAAAAGTTGAGGAAAACACACGGTGGGGAGCAAATGGAAAACGATCTTCACTTGACTGCGTTCTAAGAGATGGTGAACCTTTGGTGGATGATATATGTGTCAAACTCCCCCCTAGGCACAAGGGATCACACTTTGGTGAGATTTTCCTCGATAAACAATGGAAAATAACTGATAGTTGAGCCGAAGCAATGAAAACGCAAAGAATTCGGCGACTACTGGTAGCGCATAACCGAACAAAAAGAACTCATCATTAAGATCTAAAAGCGAGAGCTCAAAAACTACAGGTTTCCTCTACTCGCATTATTGTAGTTGGATGTTGAACCCAACCGCCCGTTAGGTTTAGCAGAGCTTCAGCGAGAAAATGGGTGTGTATATACTGAATTGAAGTCCACCAAAGACCTGGAACCGTTCCACAAGGCCTGGAAGTAAGGGTGAAGAAATCAACTGGCTTATACTAACTCGTGAAACGGATATTGGAGTTGGCGGTGGTTATGAGGTGTGCGCTGTTGTTTCGGGTTTGTAACGCTTTTGAAACCTCACTCACTCACATTTTGTATTTGGCTAAGAGACTACCTTTCCTCTCTTCTTGAGATAATATAGTTCGTTGGCTTTCTCTTATCAGCATATGTAAGTATGTATGATTACTGATCGGTGACGCCATATATCGGTCCCCCCTAGTTCCTCACACCCATAAGGAAATGGCCATCAGAACAATCTTGGCGATTTCCTCCGCAGGTTACAATTCTGCGGTCATCACCGGTGATTTCAGCTCTCTTTTCATCTGGGAGATAGGAGGGAAGCACACCACATCATTCAGTCAGAAGCTGAAGAATGCAACTAAGATTGCTGGTCTCAGAGAAAATGGTTGGTGACACACGTTGGGGTGCTGATAGAGATGCATCACGCCTGAGCTAAGCCCTGACGAGCGCTAATCTATGATACGGTTCAGATCAGACCATAAGTAACCAAGACCTTTGCTACACCCCAATCACAGAAAAAGTCGGTAAAACTCTAGACTCCATTCAAGCAAGTCCCCTGTCTACGATAACCTGAAGCCAATAATCTTAAAAAGTACACCCTTACGGAACCAATCAAGAACTTCTTCAAGCATTAGGTAGATTCTTGCGAACCGCCTGAAGAATGCAAGTGCGCTATCTTGTCACTTATCTTCAAGGAAGAAGACAGAAAAAGTCCTGGCAGCTACGAACTGATCGCCTCAATCCATATACTGTCTAAAGTATTAGAAACCCTGATAGCCGAAAAGACCTGGGAACTCCGCGTGATTTTCGAAGTGGTCGTTCATATACTGCCAACTAGCTGCGACAACAGAAAAGCAGTATATGTTGTTTTCTCGACGCAGCTAAAACATTTAAGTGTTCCACCCACAGTCCTGCTTCACAAAGTTGTTTCAGTCGGCATAAGTGGACCCCTACTCTCTTGGCTCAAAGAGTACCTAAAGGGCAGGCAGTTCTGCACTAAGGTAAACATAATGCTGTCTGAGTGGAGACCGTCGACGTCAGGAGTATCCCAAGCAGCAACTTTGGGACCGCTCCTGTTCGTCAGCGATCTGCCACACGAACTCTTCTCACCCATCCTCCTCTTGGTTGATGACATTAAAGTGTGGAGGTTAGAAAAAGAAGAGAGACTGTTCAACACTCCAAAATGACCTGCATCAAATTGAACTCAAGTCGTCGGAAAACGGCTTGAGCTTCGAACCGGGGAACTGCAAGGTAATGCACATCAGTGCTTATGACGGCCGAATTCCAATACAAATTGAGCAACCGTGCTATCACCAAAGTATCCGCAGGAGAATATCTAGGGAACACCAGTTCCAACTACAAAGAATTGGCAGCCAGAGCGAGCACCACTTTGCACTTTCTGCGTAGACAGCTTGGTGCTCTCGCCCCTGAACTATTTCTCACAGTTTTCAAGTCCTACGTATGACGACACCTAGAGGTATTCAGTGCGGTGACACCCCTAGCGCTCAAAATACAAAAATCTGGAACGAAGTCATTGTAGGATTAAGGCGAAGGGCATACTCTCAAAGACTAAAACACCTAAACCTACTAGCCTTGGGCTATCATAGAAAGAGGACTGACCTTATTATGGTCTATAAGACCACCCATCAGTCAAATCACATAAAACAAGCCTTATCTGCAAGATGGCGGTCATTACGCGGAAACTCCATCAGGATATCACATCAAAGGGCTAACACCAGGCTCAGGTCCAACTTTTTCTCCTTAATAGTATGTGCTTTATAGAATGCCTTATCGTGGGATGTAGTCAAAGCTGCCTCGATAAATCCGTTGAAAATATGGTCAGACAGTCATGTCATTTCGCATGGTTTACCGCAGAGATACTCACGGGATTACCAACCTCACTAGCCCACCATCATCTCCTTTTTACGTACCACCCAATATGTCTTTTTGAAACATCCACATTACTTACTAACTCTTCTCTAGCAACTAGACCCATGCCATCTACTTTCACCTTTCGAGTAATTCCCATATACCTATTCTCACTGTCTTAGTATTCCCATCCAGTCACCTACGCAAACAAGTCTCGATAGACCCCTAATCTTCTCAGCAACCCTTACCTCCGTAATCACTCTACAGATTACAACTACTAACCTACGAAAGCACTTACCTCACTGGAGCTAAAAGCAGGGAAGTAGAAAGATTTCCTTGTCTACTGCGGGAGCAAACCGAACAACATGGACCAAACCCCAAGAAGTAAACGCGAGAGATCAAAAACTATCAGTTTTCTACGCTTTCACTATCAGTGTTGGATATTCTTGTTGGTTGTTGGCTGACATTATTTTCCTTTCCTTTTCAGATTCTCTCGGTCTACGACGCAAGGCTTACACTTTCGACCATCCCTCTCCGCAACAACGTAACTTCAGGGCTGACGACAACTTCACAACAGCTATTCGTTGTAATCATAGCTGGTGCTAGATAGCAGGTGGTTTAGTTAACATCCAATGTTATTCTCATCTGGCCCTCGTATCTTACGCCTCCTGCCTTTACGACTAGACGTAAGTGCTAGTTTAATGTCAGTATACGCTTTACTTTTGGGTCTGAATGCTAATAATATTCAGGAAATACGTGGTTAATATAGGTTGCTGCTGCACATTGCGCATATATTGCACTTGGAACATTTTTTCTCTTGGAACTGTTTTTGCAACTACCTCGTGTACAATACTTCGAATTAAATAATCTCTCCTTTTTATCACCAGGTCATTGACCATCGTCCGTTGACTTATTGTTCAGAGAATCCGCATCTTTATAACAAGCCAGCCTGTTATACGTATACTTATCACTGCATTCGGCAACATGCCTGATAATTCCTAATTTCAGTTGACCCAACTATAGTGCACATATACGATGTCCATTTTCATTTGAAAGTTTCAGAATGAAATGATTGCATTTCATGAATACTCAGCCTGAAAGTATGATGTTTATTAGGATATAAGATATTTAAAGATTAGAAAGTCAGTAATCTTAAGTTATACAACAAAATCATTGACAATTCATATGGCATGTAAGTGAATTAGTGGTACAAAGCTAAGAAGTGTAAGAAATAAATAAAGTTATGTAATTAAAATGAAACAGGATGAAATCATATTCATTGAGGGAGGGAAATACTAACCACACTTCGCTTCCGTGAAGCACAGTAATCCAGACATTTTCTGTCCGTCTATTATTTCAAAGGCAATAGATGTTTCAACCCGATGTCTTGTGTCTAGTAGGTGCACTGGCTAGGATTTTACTTTTAAGCACATATTCTTAAGGATATCCTCAGCAGACTAAATGGATGTCCTCTTTTCAATCATTCTAATGTACTTCCTACCTCAAGTGTATATGAACTCTTAAATAGTTGGAGATGACATGAGCAGGGTACTTATTTAATTTTAACTGTTCAGTGAGCATGCGGTATTGTGTACTGATTCAAGTTTAGCTGCAGGAAAGCTCCTTCTCATTGCTCCTTTTATTCTCGTTTCCATTCTTTTAGATATCGCACGTCTCTTGAATCGAAGGCGTACAAAGACATTCTTTTCCACAGTCGGGTTTTTATTTCTCTCGATCTTTTCTCTACATACTTCATAACAAATCTCTTAGGATATCCATTCTCATGGAAACATTCCTCAATTAGGCTTGGTTCTCCTAACTTGTCCGCAAAACATGATTTCCTACCTTTGTTGACTAGCCCACACTTTTAGCTGCCAGGACAGAAACTGTTATAGTTAAGATATTGTCCAGTCCGTGTATCTTTCCTGTGGATGGTCTCTTCAATCGTACCACCAACTCTTCTCACATTGAGGTCTGAAAAACAACTCATTTCATGCTCATATTCCATCATAAGTTTAACGTTAGGATGAGCCTGGTTGAGCTTGTCAAACAACTCACTTGAATGTTTCATATTGATACAAACAACAATTGTGTCATTGACTTACCTGCGGTGTAATAGGTTGTTCCTCTGATGACTGGATTCAGCCGCATCTTTTCGAGATGATCCATGAAGATATCTGCAATGGCAAGTCCTAGAGGAGAACTCATGACCACTCCGTCAGTCTGTCGATAAAGCTGGTTGTTAGATTGAAACTGGACACCTTTTGTTCCAAGGAGTGGTGGCTTTTTGATTTGGATTTCAGGCAACGGCAGCAGATCAGTTTGTTGGCAGATATCAATCGTTTCACTAAGTCGTGATAAGATAGCAAGGAGGAATAGGAAAATACTAAATTTAGTGTGACGACTAAGATAAGGATAATGTGTGCATACATCTACTCCACTGACATCGATCCTGAGTCATATCATCTAGAATCTTCAATCACTGGTTTCCTTTGTCGTAAAAAACGCAACCGGGAAGTTGACATTTCTCACACGGCTCAAACAAGCAAAGATTTCATGCAATGATACTGTGTTTTAGTTTCGTTATCTAACAAAAGGAGTAAAGAGGAATGAAATTATATTTTGGTCTATATCAAGACATAACATGACTGTTATCGATTTTAATAAATATCGCTTAGTTTCCAAAAACCTATCTGGATTGTCTCATAGGACACAACCGGAAAGCATGCACTTCAAATGACTAGAACTAATGGTTAGTAAAATCACAAATTAGGACCGTGTTGTTCTGGGTACACATAGCTTTCTTCCAGTCTAATCTTGTCTACCCAACTTTCCATACTGGTGGTAGACGATAGGCCAGCTAACATAACGCACATCCCAACCATTCTGGTATATCATCAGCCTAACCAATAATTGTGGGCTGCTATACTGATGTAATTATGATGTAGCTCCAGAAGTTATTTGAAACCGCAACTTCGGTAAGACTTTGAGATCCTAAGTTTACTCCTTGTCCAAGCTCCTGCTAAACAGCGAATAACAGAATAGTAGATGGAAACCAGTATAACTTTTTTTGTAGTTTTCTGCACATAATTCCAGTTACCTTTTTGCAAAAAGACCTTTATTTTTTTTTATTTCTCGGACATGTCCTCAAAAATCACTTCCTTTTTCATGCTTTTTCGAATGCTTGAATAATTGTCTATAAATAATTACCAACGCCGCCTTCGCAATCTTTTTTGGTTTCCGTTACCCATCGCTGTCCTAGAATAGGGAGTAAACTTGGTCAGTATTTATTTTAGTTGCTGACGTCCTTCATTATACTTGCAACCTCCTAAGAGCTAACCGTTTGGATCCATGAAGTCCTATGATGTTACCTGAAATTTTTATCACCTCCAGGCTACTGAAATTAGTCTGAATTCCTGTAACTAAGTAATTTTCTCCCGCTAATTGTTTTTCCAGTTCTTCCTTATATACAACCTTGATGTGCTTGTGAAACTTCACTTAGAAGTCTTCCAGTCGTAACTTTCTGCTTTGATCAAGGCATCACATGTGTACTAGGTATTCTGGAATGTCCTACAGTAGAAAAAGCAGTTCTGAACTGATTTTAAAAGGTCAGGGATAGCAATGTTTGGTTTGTGTCCATCACTGTGAGGAGCAGTGACCAGAAACTCTTCGTTTAAAGCTTGTGTTTACTACAGACATGTAGTTATCACTCTGCAATTATAGTAAGCTTTTACCGTAATTGGTTTGCCACCATTTTCCTACATGCTACAACTCAACAGTCAGAAACTTCATGAACTAGTAAAGCGTTTTGTTTGGACAGTTCTTATCTTTTTCCCAAGTTGTATTTTGAGCACTACAAGAAGACACTAACTTTTGCATGGGGTGTCAAGGAGTGTCAACAACGCGATGATAATGAAAGTTAGCAGATCTGAGTCCCCATCTAAATTGGGAAATAATGAACTCAGTGAAAATGGAATAGTTTTCGCACTAGGTGATAATTGACACTATGAATAGTAGATGGGTGGCAAAAGCTCAAAAGGTGAAGGAACTGATATTAGATAATATTCTGCAATTGCTTATTTTAGAAATTAGCTTGACGGCGAGGACGAGTGAGACTCACCGAAGAGAATGATTCATTGGTAAGCGATCGGGACAGGCGGCTTGAATGCTTTGAAGAACAATTCAGCTAGTCTGAAGCCACGTTTTAGCTGCCCGGTGTTCCTGTCTACTCTGAATACGATGCAGATAGTGGTCTTCCAACTCTTCTCAAAGTTGAGAAGACTGTTTTAGACTTGAAATGATGCAAGGTGGCAGGACCTTATAGTTTTCAACTAGAAGTTTTTACGGATAGAAGTATAAGATTACTTATTACAGTTAGCGATATACTAATTAGTGTGTAGAGGTGCGTGTTACAATTCCGTAACGTTTGATCAACCCTACTTAACTTGACGTGCTCTAGTACCTGCTTAACCAGTACTTTACCTAACGTGTAAGTACTGATAACAAAACACAAATCAAAAGAACTGATACAGGAATATATCTGAAGAAGCAAAAGTGTAATCAACTTATCTGGCTTGCAAGGCTGAACTATGGACTCTGAGTACGTGCGTGGTAACCAGCACTATGGAGCGCAAAATGGCGTCCAAACCTGCTCGAATGCATGCTCGTTCAAACAAAACTTAAAACACCCTAAGCATCCGCAGGCGAACTAGAGGTTTATTTAGTTAATTTAATGTAATCTATTTATTTTAGCCCTAGTTGTATTTTGGTGCCTGGAGGGTGCACTACAAGTGTATGGGAATCAGAGGTAAACCTGTCGGACTGGTTTAGATCGCTAATCATTCCAATCTATAAGGACGGGTCTCATCTTGACAAATGCAGGGGAAATCCTTTTCATTAACACACCACTGGAACTGTGGCTCTGTAGTTTAGGAAGGTGACCAACCACTGGGTTACGGGTTCGAGCCCCACTCCACCTACAGAGGTTTGGGAAGCCAAACAATATCAATGGTCCTCACACAATACGTGTAGCTCGTCGCGTACTGCACAAATGTGCACAAGGTAGCTGAGTACATTTCGCTCATTTTTGTGTAGTAGGTCGTAAGACACAGTTATTCGATGCCTGACTTGAGCCTAAAAGCAACAAACTCGTAAAAACCAGACAGGTTTAAGACCCGGACGTTGGTTCATCAGCCACAGCTTCACTCCTCGATAGGCTGTGGAATTCCTGTGTCCAACATTTGCCACACTTTCTGACTTAAGGGTATCATTCAACTGTCGACCTACGTGTGTTATGACAGTGTCCGACTTTGAATATAGTAGCAAGTAATTATATTATACTGATCAGAACTCTCTACTCCAACCTAATGATGTAAGAGCTTATGGAGAGTTGTTATCAGAATTGACGACAACCAGTGGTATCCGTCAGGGACGCCCAGTCACCGTTCTTGTTTAGCTTCGTCACAGACGTACTAATGGACATAACCTTGGGTATGTTTGTCTTCATAAACATTGCTTTACCCCCTGGAAATCATCTGTTTGACTTGGAGTATGCAGACGGTATTGTCCTGCTGAGCTTGAACTCTGTATAGGGTCTTCTGAACTCATTGAGCGGAAATCTGAGTATGTTTGTCATGCGTTTCGCACCTGTCAAATACAAGAAGTGACGTAGTGGAATGCGTTAACCACTTCAATTACTTAGGGAGTTGCATCAGCCCGAAATGGCTGCTGACTGACGAAATCTCATTTCGGATAGAGAAGACACATTTGACATTTACCAACTTAAGTTATTTGTAGTTCCGACTGGCGAGATATCCGACTATCTATTAAAGGACGAGTACACTGCTCTGCACTCAGTTCTATCCTGTTGTACAGCTGTGAAATATGGTCGTTAAAGTAGAAGACATGAAGCAGTTACAGGTTTATGATTATAAGTGTCTTCGTTGCATTGCTTGCCTTTGGTGGAATCAGTGTAAACAATTTTGAGGTCAGGCAGAAGTACAACCCAAGGTACAGGAGTCAGTCGATGAAATTATGAACCGTAGTAAACTGAGATGACTCGGACATTTGTTGCGCATGCCAAGTCACTAACTACTCAACGTGCTATGCTAAACGAAGCTGGATTAGGTTGGAAAAGGTTCCAGGGTGGCCAGGCGAATACGCATCACTGGTCGTTGAAGTCCCTGACTTGGTCTGAATCGTGTGAAGAGATGTAGACTACCTGACTGGAGTCGCTGGGACGATAGGAATAAGTGATTGAGAACTCTTGGAGACCTGGCTGGAAATCGGTCACAGCAAGTTTAGATTTATTCACTCTTAGACATCTTCTGAAGCTCGAATATTTGCGCTAACCTTTATCTTCAAATTGTTTGCTCTCTCGCATAACTTTGTCTACTTTGATATCACTCTTTTTCTATCCATCTTTTTGTATACATCTGTGAACTGTGGCAGCTTCAACCGATGCTCTTGTGTCCGGGGTTCTACTTTGACTCTGTCTTATATCTTTTGGCATTCTGGAGATTTAAAATTACTGAGAAACTTTACATACTAGTTGAAGTTTTTACAGTTTTCAAAATAGGTGAAAATTCTAAGAGTAATACTGTGCAGGTAAACAACAATGTAGAGAAGTGGAGTAATGTGATCATCAGAGGGTATCTGATTTTCGAGTTGAAAATTCATACTTGTATACAGCTGTTATTTACTCATAATAATATCATATAACACACGCATACATCTATTTCCATTATCACAACAATGGTAACTTACCTATATAACTCATACCATTAATCCTTATGACGGCGGTTCAGTATTCCCTTTTAATTTGGTCGCTGAAGCTTCCAACTTCCTTCTCTTTGAACCATTATGTCGAAACGGTAAGTTGGCTCGCAGTTACATTTTGAGGTCCTAACACCAACTGTTAAACTTTTGTTCTCAAGTAAAGCACGCTAATGCATTAGTTTAAATACAATCAAATGATACTTAGAACGCACCGGTGATCCCTTGTGGGACTGTTGCTCATTGTATCGGACACTCAACACGCAGACAGTTGGTTATGGATTCGAGCCCTTTCACATCTAAGGGACTGTAGTTAGCGTGTTAAATGTGACGAAATTGGTGTGGTCCCTGATTTGAACCACAGAGCCGTAAGTAATTGTTTCGCTGCATGCTATAGTTCAATTTTTTAGACATCTAACAGTTGAGCAATGGATGCAAACATGGCGGCTGATATTTACGACAGTTTACCTCTCTTCGAACTTTCCACATCTTTTGATTATATTTTACTTTGCTATTTCTCTATCTTTCATCTTGCCAACATGTATATTGATGTGGTGGTTTAAGATGTGACATCTTGAACTGCTACGAAGCATTACTAGGTTCCATATTCACGCTAAATGATTTGTAGAGATTCAAGAAGGAATAATACACTAGTCTTGGTTTTTCTACTGGATTAATTTCTCCAATCAGTTATATTTTTGCTTATTGTCTTTGAATATAGTTTAAAAGTTTCTCTATTACTCCCAGATAATGACTTCCCGGACAGCTAAAAAAATGGCTCGTAAAACCAAGACCCCTGGGGATAATGTAGTTCACTCACCATTTCTGAAAATTATCATACCAGCACAGCAAGCTCGGCCCGCCCCACCTTTGGGACCACAGTTAGGTAGAGTGAGTAGTTCTCGCTTTCTAAATAATTATCAAAATTTTATTCATTAGCGAAATATAAATATTGCAAATTTTTGTAAGGATTTCAATGAGAGAACCAAGGATATCATAGAAGGAAGTCCAATGCCATGTTTTATTTCAGTCAAGGTAGTGATTTTATTTCAGACTTATCTGTTTAGCCGGATCGATCATATGATTTGGTCATAACCCACCCATCATCTATGCATTTGCTAAGAATGGCTGCTGCTGCAAAGAAAGGCGCTTCTTTACCAGGTTAGTTTTTTCTGTTACATTAGTGTGATTTTAGGGAGCTGCTAGACAATTTTCATTTGATTTGATAAATTGGAATTGTTTTCTTCATGCCATTAAACTTGTTATCATATAAGCACTAAATTTTATGTATAAAGCATCGAGGTTAACTAGTTAGAGGTGTTTAGTTATCTGTAAAATTGGGTATACTATTTAGAGTTTGTTTTATTTTTGGAATTACACTTGTATAATAATTGCTGTGCATCAACACTTATTTACTGCGGAAAACTACTGCTATAGCAAATTTATTATATCTGCTCGAGTGAGTGAAGCTTTGTAAGATTATTGATGATTGCATAATTATTTAAACGTAAATCTGAATGAATAATAATTTCTTAAGGTAACGTTAAAAGTGAATGCCGAATTGCAAGATGTTTTGGTCTGACTATGATTAATTTCCTGTTTCATTGACTTCAATAATAATTGGCTAAGATAAGTACGATCAAGTTGCTCGTGATCCGTTCTGCACTTACCCACGTATGCAGTATGAATACAGTAATCAGGCTAGTAGAGACCGGGTAAAGTCTAATCATTGCTAAGAGCATTCATAGCTACCTGTTGTACAATCACAAAATATATTTTGACAGTGTGGATGTATGTTCAACCTATGGAGGTAGTAAAATGGGGTGACTCGAGTCACTGAAATTTGTTTTTGTTATCCTTACGTCTAGCGTTTGCTGCGGCAACTTTATAAAACTCCATCCAAATTCAGTGAATTTTTGATACGTTATTCAAGTTTTCAGATACGGTTAATAAGGGACGCGTAATCTAGCTACTAAATAAACGACACGATGCTCGACAACTCACTGAGCTAACACAAGGAAGAAGACGATACTGGACCGAAAAGAGTATACCTCAATCGGCGAGTATGAATCTAGGAGCTCAGCTCTTGCGTTTATATACATTATGAGTGCCTTTGGGGCTAACAGACAAATCAGCATATTAAAAGTGAGAGATTAACCAATTGGGGAATAGCGTTCCTAAGAGCGGTCGAAATGTGCAACGCACGTGAGGCGAAGGTCATGAAAAAGATAGTTCAAACTTTCCGTAAGATGAATCTATGAAAATTAGGCATAAAACCTGCAGTTTTGGGGATGTGACATCGTCTTTAAGAAACTCCAATGTCTAACTTGGAAACATACCGTCTTTCGCTGTCGTCTGTCTGACCATTTTCATGAAAAGAGTTCCTTTATCCCTTAAACGACGTTATCTAAAACCTGTTAACCGTTAGTTCTGTTCTTATTAAGTACCTGGGAACTGCCTAATAGGATTTCTAGGGGACGTCTTGTAGGATGCTGCTTTTTCGGGCGCTGTTTTTGAACGGCGTTTATTCTTATGTTTCACCCATCCGTTATATCCTATGACTACGTCGTATATCAAACTTCCACGCTAATGGATTATTGTTCCGGCGCTCCATTTGTCTTACCCGTTCGATAGTCGTAGGGAAATACCTGCGTTCCTACTTCGAATGTCTTCCCAGTATGTTCACTTGTGGTCTTTTGGAAGACATTTCTGGGGGTCGTGAGGTGTTATCAATTTATGCTTCATGAGTGTTTCAGCGGAAGTCTGACACTCGGGTAACGCCTCGTTAGTTGTTATTCTGTACACAAACAGGAACTATTAAATGTTGTCCATGAGTGTCTCTTCTCCACCCGCCTTGTGTAAATCTCTTTTAGATGTATCTACGAAGTGTTCAACTTGTGCATGAGATTGTGGATGGTAGGGCGGTGAGAACCTAATCGATCCCGTTAGTGAGACAGTATTCATGGAATTTGGGAAGTTGTTAAAGATGATGGTTTCAGGTAACCCATGGCAGGAGAGCGTGAGTGAGAGGGCTTGCACTATTTTTGTGGCAGTTGGTGTATCTACTGACATGACCTCGGGGCAATTTGTGTTTGCATGCACCGAAACCAAACAAGATTTTCCGCTTATTGATATGTAACTGAACAGAAATGATGACAGATGGCATCCCTGGCCAGCACCACTGGTTGTTGTCAGTCCAGATGATTACTCTCCATGAGTCATTTCACAACTGCATGAGTTCTCGTGGAGAACTCTGTTTGACGTCACATATTTGTTCGGTACTTACTTTATAAACGTTAGGTGACGGTCTTACTAATCGTTGTTTCCTTGCCAGTATCCTCAATAAACATGCATAATTGCAGGTCTTACCTAGTGTCGACCCGTTTTCTATCTCCTTCGCTTTTCCTACCCACCACTGCTCACGGTCATTGCGAAGATGTCAATTTACGTCCAAGTTGCTTTCGCTCCTCATTGGGGTCAGAGCCAACTGGAGTAAGTCTTCTCGCACCAATCATTTCGGATGGAAATCCACTGGCTTTTATCAACCAACTGTGGCTACCGCTATTTTTGCAGCTCACTGAATATCACACCATGTTTCTTCAGGATAAGAATCGCCCTCACATTCAGACAAACACATTGCTACTTCAAATACACACACACGCCCTCCTCTTCTAGTCAAGTACATACAAGCTTCATTGCTGCTGGTTTTTTGTGACTCATGGGGTTCAGACCTATACGTGTCTGTACTTATGCATGATCGAAGTTCAAACAAGTAATCCAGAAAGAGCAGGAACCCTCCATCGATCATCTTTAACGATGGATTATAAGCAATATGTATCTACCCGTGTCCTTTAGTTTGATGTTTGCAGATATCATAAAATACTGTCTCTTCTTATGCTTGAAGTTAATGCTGGTTAGGAATAAGTGATTTTCAGAACAAAACTGCAAGAGACAGCCACTGTTGTCGTTTCTTTAGCACGAGATTCCGTGGTTACTTCTTCGATGCCTTTCCGATTGGTTCAGCTTCCCTAATTGAACGTTGAAGTTGCCTCGTACTATAACTATATCTGAGTCTTATTTTATCTAACAGCTAACTAACGGCTTTTGATACAACTCGTGCGTTGTATAGTCTGAACTGCAATCGGTGCGCTTTGGCGGAGATTATGAATAGGCAACAGCAAGTTTAATGACTTCCTCAATTATTATCAACAGCCATATGCGACCAGACACTACTGAATAACGGTCCAAGTTGCCACACCATATCACTACATCAAGCAAGAAAGCACTAAGATGAAAGATAAATAAGGATCGGTGAAAACAGAAGAAAGTAGTAAGGGAAAAAGAGGAATGAGAGAATACTGAGTTCAAGATGATGACTGAGATGTAGACAATGTGTGGATACATCTGCACCATCGAGATCGATTCTAAGCCATATCACCTAGCCTTTCAACATGGATTTTTGTTGTCAAGCGGAGCCCAACCAGGAAGTCTCCAAACGATTCTTCCTAGCTCCTATAGATCCATTTAGTTGGATGGCACATGGATAGGTGTTGACTGGTATTCAGTCGGGATATGCGCTTTTCGCTTGACAACTTGGTGCTGTACCTATGCTAGCAAGTGTAAAAGAGATAACCACTGAATCTCCAAACACTCTTGATGTGAATTTCGAAGACTCACTACCACGGCCATTCGAAGTCAAGTGAAAAACCATATTCTATGCTTGTTCACTTGTTTCATAAACACATCTATGGTTCAAGATTCCACAGATGCCGACGGTCTGATTTGACATAAGCTTCGGATGTTGAAAGCTACAACATGAAATTGGCGGCTGGGTTTTAAGAGACTCAGGTCGGTGTTTTGCTGGCTTGAATCGCTGCCAATAGTTGGAGAGTGAAGTTAAGGAATTTGTAAGAGGTTGAGTACAGCCATCAGGAATTAAGGGTGAGGGAGGCAACGAAGGTAAGGAGGGTACAGCTGGGAGCATGTAGGTGGTTAGTACTTCCTAGGTGTTTACATCGTGGAGGTCCCCGCAGGATACCTGATAGGGAAAAGAGGTTAGTTTCACGTGGTCACAGCGAAGGGATATCTATCAAAGGCCTGTTGCATGCAACCTTTTTAGGATTGTTTGATTGATTATTGCGCTAGTGCCGGACCAGAACAACCCATATCGCCAGGACTGGAAGACCCCAGGGCAGTGACGAGTGTGCTATTTTCGGGATCGTCCGTTTCCAACTCCCCCATTTCCATCGGGACGGTGGTATCGGCATGGTACTGCTGTTCATCCGTGCTTAACAACCTACTGTTGTTATATCATATCCAGGCAGGAGTGTAACTTAACCTACCGACACCCATCACTGCGAAGCGCTCCGCACTATGACGGTAACTGCTTTTTGTCTTATCTGTATCCGACAAACCTCTGATTTGTTAGTATTTCAATAAAAAGCGTCCCAGCTGGTGTAGCTCGTTGGGCTATTTTGATATGCTAGCCTGACCACCACGTCAAGGTAGCAACTATCGGTCGGAAATCTGAATAGTATGTTTAAGATAAGTATTGAAAAATGTAAGTGCATGCTTCTATAGAATACTTCTGAAGCTGCTGATGGTGAGCTTGCAGATTTTCAGCTTTTGTCCTGTATTAGAACATTGATCATCATTGGTTCATTTCATTGTGAGCAGTTTTGTTTTTTCACTTAGCTATCTGCCCTTATCATCACTGTCTTTCAAATACAAATTGCACGGCGTGTATAACACGTTCTCAATTATCAACTGTATCTATGTCGTATCGTTTTAGGCACCGAAGTATGTGGACGTCTAACTTTGAAACATATTTATCATATCGCAGAAGTCAAACAGCAAGATCCACATTTACTAACCAAGGATTTAGAGGATATCTGCAAAATGCTAATTGGTACAGCTCATCGTTTAGGTATCGAGGTTTTGTCACCAGAGGATTTGAAGTCTGGTAGAGTTGATTATACACCCAGTGGGTACGCGGAGTTCCTTCAAAGACGTGAGGAAAACTTAAAACAGAAAAAAATGGAAGCTGAAACTGCAAAACAGAATAAAGTCAGATTGTAAACAGTAGAAGTATATAACATCTTGTAACTATTGTAGATTATTATTATTATTATTATTATTATTATTATTATTTTTGAAATCCTCATAAAAATCAAGTGTTAGGGTTATATCAAAGTAACAAAGCAAATAAGTAAAAGCGAAGAAAATTTTCTTCCTGACAATTTATTTTCTAAAGCTGTACAATCATATTTCAAAGCAATGGGGATATGTGATTACTATAATTTTTAGGCGTAGAACAGAAAGATTCTAAAGACAAGAAAAATGGTAAGGCTGATGAATGATGATGCACGTAATGTTTTTGAACAGACCTAAGCTTGCGAATTGTCTATGCTTCGGAGAAGTATAGATGACGCGGCTGTAAGCTTTTTGAATTATAGGAGGGCACTCCGTAAATTACTTTTAAGGAAGAGGAATATCAAAGTAGTTTTTCGCCGCTGGCTGACGTAAGTTGGAAGACATTAGAATTCTGTCCCCTCTTACCTTGGGACACCTCAACGATGCAGACTCGTGATCCAATGGCGCTTCAAGCCCACGACTGGGTTTGGTGGCGAGCGAATTACTATTCAGCAAAACTTGTCAGCATCAACACAGAATCTGGTACTCCGGCGTAACGGTCAAAGTTGTCACGCATCATCAGTACATCGAGGTAGGAGGCACCGCGATGAAACAAGAAAGTAGTCGGTGGTGGGGACTCGTGAAAAAAGTAATAAACAGTACTGAAATTCAGCCTGGTAATTAAGATGGAGATAATGTATGCATGCATTTGTGTAACTGAGATCGATTCTAAGCTCAGCAACGTCTGACGATCTTTGGCATCTACCACACTTCTACTCTTGGGAGCATTCCTAAACAAGGATGGAACAGTTGTTCAATACTCTCAGTGGTTGTCCAAATAGTTTGTGTCTGGTGTGAAAGTCTGATTTGAAATCAGTCAATCTCGACAGAAATCACCAGTGGAATTAAAGACCATGCTGATCAATGAGATGTGCATTTTTCCGATGTAGGTGTTCTAATAAACAGCAATTTTAGGTTGACAGCTTATCATGCTGGAATTTATTTCGCAATAGTTCGGTGGATTTTCATAATAAGATAAGACCCTACCCTCATCAGATTTACCGACCAAATCTCGGAATAGATTCAAAACCACTTACAATGAGGTGTATTTTCGCACAATTGTACCTTGAATTTACAAGGATTGCGAACATATTTACGTATATGAACACTATCAAACAAACCTTAGGCTAAGTGACATAAGGTACATGGGAAATCTCTTGTAGCATGTATTGCAGCTTCCTATCTTCGATAATCATTTGCGAATGGTGCAAACAAATGAGCGGATTGCTTTGTGCATGAACAAAATGAAAAGTTGATCTTTTTTAAATACTCAATGTAGACCAAGTCTTCCAAACACCTAAGAATCATAACTGTAGACAAGTGAAACAGTGACATTCAGAAATGTGACGAGGATAAAATAATCACCACATGACGTTTGAATAACCAAATGTGGGTCAAGGTTAATTTGAAGGTTACCAAGTGACCGGTAAATCTGTATCAGTAGATATTAATTTGCATTTTTATGCACTTCGATTAGGATCATTCTCCGAAACCAGTGCTTTGGATGAATATTGTGTTTACTTGCAGCATATGCTGATTTTACTAATTATTCTGAAAGATACAATAAGTTCGGAAAGACATACTTCTGGTTTAAGCTTTCTATATAGTATCTAATCCCCAAATTAGTGTTGTAAATGAATGATGTCTTCCTGCTTCTAAGTATTCCTCTATACATAATTTAAGGAATACGTGAAAATGGTGCACACTCACTACTGTCTATAAATTCATTTAGTCCTGTGTCTCTACCTTCAGATGGGTAAAACAGTAACACTTTCGGGAATCCCTTTTTATTATAGAGGCTGATCAACCTGGTTAAGGTAAAGGACGGCAGATTGCAAATGAAAACTAATAGCCTCTGTAAAATAAGTGATCCACACAATTAGGTAACCTAGTGAATGATGTGGGTAGTGATTTCCAGCTTAAGGCAACACTATTCACTGAGATGCGGGCACATCCAGTCGGTAAGTGAATGTGAAATTTATGTACATCTTAGATCCCACTGCCAACGAGAACCAAAAGGAACAGTCAATATCAACATGTTACTTGGTATAACTGCTTAATAACGGAAGTTTGAAAAGCAGAGAATAAACCAGAGGGTGGTGCAAATAATGAAATGTGATGCGTCCTCGATTTCGGCCACCGCACAGATAAAAATATCCCTCTATACAACTCAGGCTAAAAGTCACGAACTGATGCAGCGTTTTGATCTGATCGCCTTTGACTCTAATATATCCTATTCTTACTTTACTTGACATCGCTTGTTGAGGTAGATGGTTTCTACGTATACGTAACACATCCCGGACCACCTGAGCTAGTGAAGGTTCACAACGTTTACATTGCCAAAGCGGAAGCAAAGAAATAATAACATTACAAATTCTGATCGCGTCCAGTCCCGGTAGACACTACTACTTGTTGACTAGGTTAAAACAATTGTCCTACTCTCTAATTTTCGATTCGGTATGAGCATATACGCACCCAATGCTTTTGTTTTAATCCTAATGTAAGTGCTTGGCTTTTCGCTGATTAAATGAAACTTTCCACAAGATTGAGAATAGTTTTGATGATCATCTGGCCACTCTAAACCAGAATTATATGACATGATAAATCTAATGAAAGAATAACGAAGTTACATGGAATGTTTCTCTGAACATGTACTGCAGTTCAGCATCATGTATATCGTTTATGTCACCTGATCAGGGAAATTTGGTTTGATTCGACTGATTACCACCGTTTCTATGGAATAAGGTACCATGAATACTGACTGAATACAAAACCAGGTCAGAAATCTTCACAAATGGTATCACGAGATACATGTCTTTTGTTCTCACTATACTGAGTGGTTAGCAAAAAAGTAAAACCTGGTAACTAGTTGGGTTTCCAAGCTCAGATGGTGCAGTATCGGGCTCATGATAGTTAGTTCAAGTCCGACTTCAATATGATTTTCTGTAACTACGATTCATAAGCATCTACATATTTTTTAAATACAAGTATTTTTTGAAGGCACTCAACAGTAAGATTCCATCTAATTTGCCCATTTTAATCGCTCGGTATGTCCAAGATGTGATAACAAGTTCCAGTCTATTGCACTTTTACATCAACCATGTAATAGTTTTGCATCGAACTCATGGAGTATACAGTTTACTTAAGAACATCCATTAGAAAGTCATCGTAATTGCATGAGGTTCGTGTTTTATGCAGTGCCGTTGGTAAGTTATTCAGCATCATTGAGACTGCGTAGTATTCCTGAAAAAAAAATAGATACTTGCCTCCAAAAATTTTGTAGGAAAAAACTACATTGTTTGTTGCTAATTCCTTTGCTCGAAATCCCATTTAATGGCTGTTTTTTTGAGATTTGTTTAACCGTTATTGTTACGCTCACTTTGTGGTTTGGTATGAACATGGGATTTCATGATGCCTTCTCAGGCAAGTAAGATTGCAATTCTCTCCTTACTAGTAAATACTTTGCAGCATATTATTGACAATTCCTGAAACAGATTTATTTTTATAGGTGTAGAAACGAAAAGATGACCAGCACATTTTTATTGTCGTCAGAAGTCATAATACTTAAGCTATCTAGTGCATTTCAGAAAGAAAAATCTTCAAGGCTGACGTTTCATCACTGTATTCTACACTCAAGGATGTCATTCTAGCAAACATACCATGAGCGGTTAAAGTTAGGGATAAATGCGCAGACGTATGCTGTGCAGATATTTAATTATATATGATCAAATCTCTGGTTTAACTATTTGGATAAGCTTTCCATAAGCTTCTTTTACATTGGCATCATAGAGAGATACTGGTGATCAAACACTAGAAAACTGAATGTTTTGCAATTTTTTATAATCCAAGAGTATACATTATATCTGTTGCATACGTCATCTAACTTTGCGTCGCAGACCGAGGAAAATATACCTGGTTCTCGCAACTCACTTGCACTGATGATTACTTTATAAACTTTCGAAAACAACACTGACGAGTAGAACTATGCCAAATTGTTAGTAAACAACAATAAGTGACAAAAATGTAGGAAATAGTGAATAAAAATCAAGTGTTTATAAAATAGCTTGACAGTGTTCATGCTGTGGCTCCATAGATCGAGAGTTATCTTTTCTGATTTGAGGGTAACTACGCCAAACCGGAAGTTCAACACTCTGACCTAGAAGCTGACCACAGCGACAACATGGAGCACTAAATAAATCTCGGTAACTATGCAACCAAGCGAAAAATCCACGAATAGCAGATGGAGGTTTGTACTCGTTAGAAAAGTGAAGAAGTGCACACTGGGCTAGAGAAGTGATACGTTGAAACAATGGATGACGACTCGGCGTGAAAAGATCCAACTTCTGATGATTAATCGTACAAAAACGGACAAGTTTTGATACTCTTTGTTGCCTGTGGTCTGGAATTGAGCGAGTTTTTGAATCAGGACTAAGCAGTGAAACAACAAGATCACGAATCTGCGGCTTAGAACTTAAGCTTGAATCAGCTAACAGTTCTTCTGCTGGTAAGGATAAGGGTTTATCTTCTATACTCAAATTTTCATCAGGAGAGGTGGAGTAGGATTTTATAATCATCGGTTCAGACATCCCTCGAACAATAATTCTCTCCGGATTCAAATGACGGAAAACCACATAACACTGCATCACTTCACCAACCTACAACGAGTCAATAAAGATATGTACACAATCATAACAATTTCAAATAAGCTATTAACAATATGCTTTTCAGATGAAGTGTACATTTAAGATAGTTGTATACTTTCGGAGATACAGAATAACAGTCTTAATTAGTCAGGCAGACTATGCAGTGTATATTGTGGAAATCTATGCATTTCGACCTTTTTAAAGGGAAATTCACAAGGACGTTTTGCTGAGTGATTGTTTTTTGAGTCTTGGTTAGTATTTTGGCACTGTTAGATCAGTTTCACTAGAACGTTTCGGTTGTAAAGTTATGTCTTGCGTGATTAGCTTCAGACAAATATGAATGCTATGAAGTACGACGCATCATTCAGCTTATCTGTGATACTACATTGATTATTAAGAGATTAATGGAAGATAAGTGTTACATTAAACACGACATTACACCAAACAATATCCAGTTTGGTTTCTGTAAATTTAGCAAAAAATATGTGTATAAGATAATTAATCAGGCAAACTCGTGTTTGTGGGGTAAAATTGTAATTAGCTGGAGTAAAAGTTAAATTTCCCAACATAAGTGCCCATTCCAATCCAAGTCACAGTTGAAACCTTTCAAATATGGGCCTCCGCATATTTTCCGTGTCAAAACAGTTTCCTGCTTTCTTTATTTGAACATATGGCATCAGACACCTAGATATTATACGTCGCTATAAGTATTGCGAATATTCTTTACATACTATTTTCACTCCTGGAAGCTGAAGTTCAACATATATAAATAAAGAAATTTCAAGTACATTTACGGTTGTAGCGTAAAATTTCGACCTAGCTTCCGTGTAACGGGCAACATTTTTGTTGACGTGAAAAGATAGTAAGCATTGATTAGACAGAAATATCCCAGAGCACGTAGATTCTGATCTGTCCGAAGCATCATCTACTTTTTCGTACGCTCTTACAGCAGTAATTTTAGATACCACTGAACAGTTTTTCAGGTTTTATGAAGTTTAATGAGAAATGTCCACTAATTCTGCTCAGTATCATTCACTGTGGCAGTAATGTATTCTTTTTTGTGTGTATCTTCGAAATATTAGTCTTCCATGCTTAATCTGTCGTTTACTGTAGCTTTAGTTGCTTTCGTGTAGCGAACAGAAATATGACAACTTCAACTATCACTTATCCATACTGTGTTCATAGTTGCATAGACTGATCTTAGTTGAAGTTGACAAACAGATAACAGAAGCATACAATCAGAGTATTCTGGAGACTGCTTTTATAAATGTAATAAGTTATCCATAATTGCCGAAGGGAATGTCAGTTGTGTTTCCGTAGAAAGTTAGCTTGTAAGAAACCAATATTAAAAACACCCAATATCACTAAACAGAAATATAAAAAGAAAGTGTAAACCATATTCTGATCAAACTACTTAAAACTGAAAACAAAAAAGCTTCAGATCATAAGGATGAAAAGTACCATGCGCTAAAGACATTCCCAGAAACAAAAAAGAGAGAAATAAGAGACTTTAAAGGCTACGCTAGCAATTGATGAAATAACCTTGGTATTACCGCTGGGAAGTTAGTTTTTCATAAAATACAGAAATGTAATTGGTGATCTCAGAAGTTGTCAGGGCAACTTTCAAGTCACTCAAGGGGAGCCCTATCATGAGAAATATCAGTGATGTCAACCATATCAAAATAAGTATTTCAATACGTGACAAATCTTGCAATACATTTTCAAGCACTTCCTGTGAGATTTGCTGGAATTTGTTGTGTAAAGTTTCTTTATGCAAAATAATGGCTTGAAGATGCGTGGTGAAACACATGGTAGAATTGTGTTAAATGTTAAAATTAAAGTAGCATAAAGCCTTGGACCTAGGTTTCGCACTTACCAGCATTTTTCAGCAGAGCACATCTACAACAATAAGGGAATTGAAGTCCTCTCAGTGGTTCGAGTCCGTACCACACGACGAACTGCCGTGCAGCTGTCAAACAAAGTTTAATATTTAACTGACTGATGACGAAAGCTACCATTCGATAGGAAAACCAAACGAATACACATGATAAATACCAATCAAACACGTGAATAGGAATATAATAAGACAAAGAATAAACAATATATGCTCACTCTCAAGTGTACAGTGGACACTATCGATGACGGTTCGATTATTGTGACAGTAAGATCTGGCAAATTTACGTTTATTTCATTGAATATATGTTCCATATCCGCACGATAATCTCGACTGAGAAAATCTGCTCTCCTACGCAAATGGTCCGCATTCAGATGGGAACTGTAAAATAATCAAATTGCAGATTGAACGAACCAAACGGTGAGAATTTACTTTCTTACTTTACTTTTCTTACAATTATTATTTGGATTCCAATTAAAATATCATGCCGCGATGAGCGCCAATCGGGTATGTAATAAAATCCCAGGCAAAGCAGTTGATGCTACTTCAGTTTTTCATGAGCTGGGTTCCTTCCATCATTGAAAACACTACATCACAAGTTTCGATGAGGTATTATCTCGTGTTAAGTAATGCAAACGTTAAAAATGCAGGTCGAAGATAAAACTTTTGAAAATATACATACTCAGCTCCAGACTTCGTTTCTGGCGTACCAAACACAACTCGATCATCAAAAGTGCTAGGTAGGTTCTACTGATTGTAATGGGTTTCAGTAACATATCCAAGGAATAAAACGGTTTAATAACTCTTATTTTGACTGTCCATCACCGAATCACTTAATATCTTACGACCTCAGGCAATCAGGTTGAAGACTGTACAACTTTGGATAAAAGTGCCCTGGCTCAGTAGTACAGAGGCCCAATAAAATTATAACCATTAAAATGACCAAGTGGGATATAAGAGAATGAAAAAAATAGGCGCAGAGTAGAAAGATGTTTATGATTTTATATAACTGTACGTCTACTTCTTGGCAATCTTGTCTCACGCTTGACAAACTAAAAGAAAAGCTAGGAAAATTCAACTCACCGTCTGAATGCAGAACAAGCCAATAAACCCTCAAGTACAGTACGAGTACGTTCCCAGTAGCGATGACTCCAACGCTCTGCTTCCATTCTATCAATTAGCCAATCAACACGACGCATATCAGACTCCTTACCATGATCATCGGTCCCCGTGTACTGAGATGGTAATGAACCTTCACAAGGCCAGCTATTGCGAGAAAATTCTAGTTGTTCAACAGTGTTGAATAGAGACAAAGCATTTTGCAGACCAGGGTCACTATGTCGACCAGGCAACCGATTAGCTTGCATTCGGCCAGCTAACTGGTCCAAGTTACTGAAAACATCACTGAAAATAGAAAAGGATGTTTATTTTAAATTAAGAGTTCCTCAAACATATTTCAATAAGAATAATCAAAATGTCTACATAAGAGTAGGATTTAAACAATAGGATAGAGTATAGTTCAACTAAGTTTTCTCATTATGTCGCACAGTGAAACAGTACTATTTATCGAATAACGCCCTGAATACAATTTATTGCCCTCAGTCACATATAGGAAATCATTTGACGGTTTATTTTCAAAGTTCTACCATTTAACAAAGCTTTAACTACCAATGCCTCTTCCTACTGAAGTTAATATTTGTTGCCTGATGATTCCAAAATCGTTGACATTGCTACTTAACTTTCTTTTTTTGTGGTAATCGCAAGCAGTTTTAGCCTTCTGTTCATAAATTCGAGTGGCCCAATTAACGCGACTTTTTTTTCTCACAAGCTAGCTAGAATGTCAGTTTCACTAACAGTTTTTAACCGCCATTTTCAGAGATACTTTGGGCATTTGGTCCTACTTGTTTACTAAATTTCAGGACTATTGTCACATTTTCAATTTTTATAACAGCTGGAAGACTAATTTCTACGTTTTATTTGTGTTAAGAATGAATGGTGAGCACCTAAAGCGTATTTGAACTGTCCCACAAAATATTCCACCCAAAGACAAAGCCAGCTCTAATAGGAGCTCGATGTGTTTTTCAACGGCAGTCTCCCTAACTATATGCCTTTGTAGACCAGAGCTTGTCACGAGATAGTCACAGATGATAGGCACTATCGGTTTGTTAGTACGGAGTTTCAAAGGTATCCTGAAGTTGTCATTATGTTTGACCCAGCTTATCAATTCCATATTAGATTTGTTTATTTGATTTATAACACAGTGATCTAGTATTATTTACTTGGTGACGTTTCGAGCACAAATTATTGCTCATAATCAGATCAACGTAATACTAGGTCACTGTGTTATAAATCAAATAAACAAATTTAATACAGAATTAAATTCTACCACAGTGCTCAAGTTTTACACCTATATCAGCTTATCAACTTGGACACTGAATTAATATTCTAATATAACGTCATATTTCGTGGGGCACGATTGATAACCTTCGTTAAAACTCATCGTTTCTATTGTGCCAGCTGAATAACTAAGCTGGAAAGATTTCATAGGCTTTTTAGGAATATAACACGAACTAATGACGGCTTCAGGGAATACGCATTACAGATAGACGATACAGCTCCTAAATTGTTAATGAGCATTATAGAATTACGTTTGTGTTTTGACCAACTTTGCTTTCGCCGATGAAAGCAAAAAGTGGAGCACCATTCACACACTCCATGGGTTTACCCATCTAAAATCTTATTCCCGAAATAGCAATGTTGACGCTTGAGCAAAAACAACTTTCTTATTCCAATTTCTGTCTTACGAACAGAACAATCACTTCTCCAGATATCCAAAGGAGCACAAATTAAGCTTGGTCATTATTCAGACCTCTCTGGCATTGTAGGACCTCAAGAGAGAAACGTTTCACACAGTACATCCATCCAGATCAACTTAGGACCAGACATTACTGCGTAACTGTCCGAGTTGCCACACCTCACATCAGTAAATCAAGTAAAAAGGCAGTGAAGCGCGAGATGAAGATAGGAAAATTCAGTCTAAAGAAATATAAAGTACTAAAAGAGAGAAACGAAGAATGAGAAAGTGGTGAGATTCGGTATAGCATCGTTAGGATGAGGATAATGTATGTATACATCTGCGCCACTGACATCGATTCTGAGCCATATCACCTAGAGTCAGTCTCCAACCACTGGTCCCCTTGTCCCGTGGACCCCAACCACCTAGTCTGCATCGCCCCCACATGGCTCAAACCAACAGTCACACACTTCATACATTGGTGCCATGTTTTAGTCTGGCCACCTCAGGCCTTTTCCCAGCCTGGACCTACTTCGACCAACATTGTGTGACGAGGCGGTCGACGACTAGGCATACGTAACACGTGTCCCAACCAGCCATCTCAGTCCATCAAGGTTCACAATCTCGTCAGCCGACCCACCTCTTCTCCCTAAAACTCTACTCCTGACTTCTGCATTACTCACGTAGTGACACCACGGAATGCGGCGGCCTATACTACGAAGGCAACAGTGGTCAAACACTTGAAGCCTTCTCATGTCTTCCACCTTCAATCGCTACGTTTCATAGTCATACAGCAGAACAGACCAGACTGCTGTGCAGTACACACGACCCTTAGTAGACAATCGGATATCACGGCGGCGTCACAGATGGCGTAAGTTGGCGAAACCCAATTGAGCCTTTTGTATCCATGCAGAGATTTCATCGGCAACTGACCCACCAGGGCTGATCCTACTTCCCAGGGAAGTGAAGTGGTCAACACACTCAACCACTTCATTCCATATTGTTAGCCGTGGTCGTGCACCGTTGAAGACCAATCCTGGAGCGACAATTTGCATTTGGGTGATGAGAAACGCATCCCAAACATTCTCAAATTGCTACTCAAAGTGTTCAGAAGATTTTGCATCTAGTCAGCATCTTCGCCTAACAGGACTATGTCATCTGCATATTCTAGGTCAAACGAAAATTCTTCACCGGTCAGGTCAACGTCTGTGTAATCAGGTGACAAGAGGGAGACCTCCATAAGAATATCGATGATGAAATTGAATAAGAATGGAGAGAGTGGGCACCCTTGACGTGCACCACTCGATGAGTACAGCTCATCTGACATCTCACCATAGGCTCTAACACGCCCGCAACTGTTCCAGTAGAGAGCCCTCAATAAAGTGATGTACTTACTCGGCACGCCTTTCACTGAGAAACATTGCCACAAGACTTCTCGATCAACGGAGTCGAATGCCGCCTTCAGGTCGAGAAATACAGACAGTGTCGTGCGCCGGTAAGCGCATCTGTGTTCCAAAACCTGGTGCAGTGTGAACACTTGGTCAGTATATCCGCGGCCAGGTCTAAAGCCTGCTTGGTTTTCTCGGGCCTGTTGTTCCTGAGCTCCACCCAGGCGTCGAAGAATATAGGACCTAGAATCTTAGATACTATGCTCGTCAGGCTGATTCCTCTGGGGTTATCACAAGAGGACTTCTCGCCTTTCTTGAAGACTCGGATAATCAGTGACTTATAAACAGTCAGAGGGGATCGTATTTGACTTTCATATACTATCTAACACTTTCGTTAACCTGACTAAGAGCACCTTACCACCATCCTTGTATACCTCTGGAGTTAGTCCGTCTGGTCCTGCTGCCCATCCTTGTTTTAGGTTACCTACCCCTTTTTCAACTTCTCTTAGTGTTGGGGGGCCTATCTCTATATCCCATTCATGATCCGACTGGATAGTGGGCAACGCAATGATGGCTGGAGGCCAGTTAAACTGCTCCTTGAAGTGTCCTGCCCATCGTTCCAGTCGTCTCCCCTGCCAGTGAATCCCAGATCCGTCCTTCTCTGCTATAATCTCACTAACCACAGTCGACCTTTTTCCCCCAGTTTCCTGAGTAAGTCTAAATAACTGTCTGCTGTTACCAATCGCCGCTGCCTTTTCATCTCTCTAGCATTCGCTGCCCACCATTGTTCGCGATCGTTGCGTAGACTTTTTCTCGATCTACTTTTAAGTTGCGCTCGCTCTTGATTGTACTCAGAGCCTGCAGGGATGAGTTCACGTGCATCCATTAGTTCGCAAGAAGCTGCTGATATCCACTGGCTCTTTTTAGCCACTATCATGGATGTTTACATGAAACATTTTAAGTATTCGTAAAGGAGTAAACTTTTCAGTCCAGCAACACATGTAGTTCGGATAAATTGCCATTTTAGATGGCATACAATAACAAAACAGTTTTAAAGTGCAGTAACCTTACCTTATTTGGTTGATTGTTTTGTGCAGTGATAACTTTTCACATGAAGTGCCTTTTTGGCCGTTAAGTAGAGAGAAATTACCACTATCAGAGGTGATTCCAGTTGTTTTCCCGTCGGCAGGACTGGGAATATTGCCAGATTTGGTAACCGTTGGTTTGTTACACACAGCAAAATTTTCATCCGCAATCTTGCTTTGTTCTTCACGACCTCTCTCATCAGATTGAACAGATGTTAAGAGATTAGCTAACAACAGTCTTAGACGTTGGATTTCGTACAAGCTATCTTGAGCTAAAGTCGAAATGCTATTCTGTATGAAACTTGTCGGATGAAATGTTGGGATATGCATATTCATTACAGGATGAGATACTGGTGGGAAATCCATGTTAGGGGGAATATGTGATGGATTAGAACTTGGTTGAGGTGTAAATGTCATTCGATTTTGGAACCCACAAACCTGAAATATCAAATAAAAATCCTTGTTAGGAAAGAGCAGAAATACATAAATTTATGAAAACACACCGATACGACATTTCACCCACAGAGTCATAAAGTGCCAATACTGTGACTATACTGACGTCAAAATACTGGTAATCAGATTGAGTTTTTGCAATAACTGCCAAAATATCTACCTACAAAGCGAATAAATCTATCCCATAAATATTCCAGAAAAGAAATAATTCACTTGTTTTCTATAAATGCCAGCTAAGGTGAATATTTTCCCATCTTTTTATCTGTATTTTACACCAAAAGTATAAGACACTATCTCGAAGACAGAGTGATCATTACTATATGTTCATATACTTGAATCTTTCGTCACTATACTGGGTTGAACTGTTTGACCTCCATTGATAAATGGGTTCCTATGCAGATGCCTCGATATTGCCTGAATATTTATTATGATAATTTACTTGATTATGGCTAGCATAGGAATTGGAAGAAATGAGTGTCTTGGATTCCTCTGCTATCCACAACCAGGTAAAGAAAGTGATAAGTTCATGGTTTGGCATGGCTATTAACTTATTTGTTTGCCATTCTTTTAACAAAGTTTCATGATAATGGATGCACAATGATCTGTATGATGATGAACGATGGAGAAGCAATAAAGATACTAAGTTACAAAAACTATATATATATATATATATATATATATATATATATATATATTGATAAGTCGTAAGGTTCAAGAACTGACCATATTGCCTTTATCACTGAAGACAGCTCATAATGAATAGGCATGGGAGGACACAAGTACTGCATGATATTCTCTACATTAGTATTGAGGTAGTAGTTCAAAATAAAAAATTCAGAATATCAAGACTGAATAAACTATATCCATTTTTTAGGCATAGCTACTATCATGACGTATACTATACAAAATGACCAAACTGAGTTTGTGAAACTGCAAAACGTCTGAATGATCCATTTAGTGTTATGGTTCTTAAGGTATATGCAGCTAGTTTGCTGTAATTCGCCAAAACTCATTGGGGCACTGGTTTTATTAGTAACTCATTGGTAAAAATTATGTGAGAAATAAATAAGGAAGCCAATGAGTATATGTTAACATACTTTTCGAATGAACATGCAGCTTTATTTACGTGAGTATTCGAAATAAACAATCTAAAAGGATTTTAAGCTGTGTTGCTGAACGTCGTAATCGATGAGCTGAGCTGCTTTATGGGATGAATACTATTCTAATCTAACAGGTTGTTAAATTCATACTTTACACCTAATTTACATAAAAATGTTTGTATATTCTGATTCTATACAAATATAGCTTTGATTACATACTTCACAGTTTGGGAACAGTAAATGTGATAACACGTAGTTGATATAAAAATCCCAGAAGATACCTGGGACTCAGCATATTTAGGGTTATCAAGTTAAACATATCTACTGGTTTTTATACAATTAGCAAACCCTAGTTGCTGTAATTTTAACTTGTGAATGAACATAAGTGCTGATTGATGATGCCTAGTTGACTGGACACGAGAGACTGATCCTTAGTTGTACTGGATGCCCGGTTCATAACTTTCGTAACACCCACTCAGCATAATGGACCAGCAACCATCTTACTAAGTGGATGCAATCAAAAGACTAACTGGGTGTCTTGTTGACCGAGTATACATTTGTAAATGATTTCCAAACTGAATCATTAGTGTGAAAAATAGTCACTTATGAGCAAGAAGGTAAACAAAGTAAAGCAGCTATACGATGTTCAATTTAAAAAACAGTCTGTCAATGGTCGAGTAGTTTTCGATAAATGTTTATTGATAAATACACTACTGCACATTTATCCTCTCTAACGCGCTATAATGCATTTTCAGCCATAAGTAAACTTATGTAACCCTAGAAAAAATACAAACAAGTAACAGCGAGGAATCGGCCCACACGCTTTAAAAGCACTCACCAAATAATTCAGTCATATATCTAATGAGTGAATGAACATTCTACCTTAAAAACTATAAACAGGATAACATGAGCCATTATATCTGCTGTAGGGTTTCACACTTCTTGCTGAAAATGTGCATAAATAAAGTGCGTCAGCCGAGAATGAAAATGCTTTATTTAATTCAAAATCTTCATCCGAATCACTGAAGGTTAAAATGACAGCAAGTGACTAATCATGGTTAGCAATAACATTATACAAGTATATATCACTCTTCTGGGAAGTCACTGCTGAGTCGTAACATAAATAGGAGAAAACTAGTATCAGATAATTCATTTGTTTAGTGAAGTGGCATTTTTAGCCACTATACACAAAATATAAAGTATACACTTCTACACCGTTAATCAAAAGCATTATTTATACAAATAAACACTAGTAAAAATATAACGAGTCAAATCAAATTGAATATAACTGTTAACATTCCAAAAATCTGTAAAAAAAAGTTTCGTTGGCACTAGTGATAGCTGGAAGGCTATATGAAGCTTTGTTCCATTTTGAAATGAACTCAACAACTACATGCACGCTTGTGTGTTAAGCGACGAGCCGCACTTATTATGTGAGGGTTACTGATACTACTTAGCTGCTTAAATCTCAGTTAACAGGGAAGGGCTCAAAAACTTGACTCACTGGTAAGGAGTCGAAAACGTAGACAAAACAGTTCTATGAAATCATATAACACCTGGGTTGACAACAAGCATAAGGACAGGTTGTAAGTTACTATACCAACCTTTTAAGGAACTGTAATGATTATCCAGTATATCTAAACGGATGGCTGCTACGTTGACATGGTGGTCGGACTTGCGAGTCACAATGATCCAGTGAGTAAGCATACTCCTCACTGACCTACCGTATTCGGGTGCTGGCGGTATGAATTTTTGGCAGGATTTAAATCAAGCAAGGCTAAACTTCCAAAACGGCCCTGTGTGACCGGCATCAAGCAGATTTTCAATGGGCTCTACAGTCACAGATAACTATTACTAATTCAACTTTTTCAAGTACCTCAAGTTAAGTTCCACAGCGTGAGAAGCGTGAAAGTATCAGCCACCCTCACAACTTTGTCAGTAAACATGTCTTGACTGGTTCAATATGTCGATTACCAACCAAATTCCACACCTATCATTTGGTCTACGTCAGTGCTGTTAGAACAAAAACTTGGTACATGGGCAGCAAGAGATGCACCCTACAAACTAATAAAGCTACATTATGAAGACACAGGAAACAAAAGAAAGGATGGAAGTTGGGCAGCTGCCATAGAGAGGAGTTGCATTAGCTGGAATAGTTTTGTCAATGCTAAAATCTTCGGTCAAAAATAAAAAGCACTCTTGGCAATTGCCAACTTGCGCCACTTATGGCCCTAGCATGACATCTGTGTATCAAATGGTGTATATACTAAGCAGCAGTTTGCTATCTATCTTATAACTGTAAAATAGTTATATAAAGTAGATATGAAAACATCACCGGTATATTCATAGCATCGCTTACGTGAAGTGTAATCACTGTGGGGCATATCGATGTTAGGTGAAGAAGACTAGGTAAGGAAGGAAAATCACTCGGTTCGATTGTCAGCCTTTATTAACTGCAAAGGCTTGAGCGTGATTTTTTATACTGAGTAGTCGCCTACTTCGAAGTCCAATGTTAACTGAAGTAAGATTGGATTAGAAGGCTACAGATAAGCAGACCAATACCTGATGCCAGTATAAGAAGTTTCGGACTGATCTGAGCGGTATACCGAGATATAGACTATCTAACTGCAGACTACAGGAAAATAAAAGTCAGTGGTTGGAGACTTTTATAATATGGCTCAAAATCGACCACAATAGTGCAGATGCATAAAATCTTTGCCACCTTCTAGGTCTTAAATATTTCCATTAGCCTACATCTATACGTTTTCTTCTTTCACACTTGTCAGCTTTTAAATAGTTTTTGGATATTTTCTTAGCGTGCTGCTGCGAGGTTTGCCATGTTGGACAGCTGTTTTTCTTTGCCAGGCTTTACGTAGATCTGTTAATGGAAGGGCACTGAGACAACACACTGCATACATGTAGCCTGGTGAAAATATTGTGACTTCTACGTGCACTTCTACCCCTGCAATGAATATATCTTCAGACATTTCTTTTTTAACTTCGTTGTAAATTTTTTTTCTAACACTGCTTCGCCAACCAACTCTTAGTTGTTTAAGAGCAAGACAAAAAGTATGCCATTTGCAGATAATCGTAGATGACTGACAAAGAATCTGCACTCTTCTGTAAATGTAGTCAATGACATTTAGCTACGCCATAAACCAACTTACGGATGAAATACACAAGCATTTGGCTTAATTATTGTAAAAGGTGATATGGTTATCCACAGCGATGATCCTTGTGGAAACTTATGCTGAAGCTACAAACAAAAATAGGTCAAAGAGGTTTGAGCAAATGATTTGTCTGCACCTCACTATCCATCAGAGCTCAAAGATACCCGAACGACATTGATTAAAGTAAATATATTTATCTGCTCTTCTTTTCAGCCTTTAGAAGACGACTACCAGCAGTGGATTAATCATATGTGCCATCTTCGGCAGAAGAACTTTGACTTCTTTCAGCCAAAGTGCTCAAACACTACAAATGCTACTATTTCGATGACTGTAATTTTATAAACTTCAGTGACACTAAAAAATTCCATCCCACATGACGTCATTCGGAATAACAGGCATCCAATATAAACCCCATCCCTTATAAATAAAATTCCAAGCAGGCAGCCGGTTCTAGAGTCAACAATCTATGCAAGCATAGCTTTTGCCATTAGTTAGGGCTTCAATATCGTAAAGACAACAAAGTCGGGATTAGCAGACGATAAGTGCGTGTTGTAAGTACATGAATGAAGTCATAAAGGATACACTACCATCACCAGAGGAGTAAAAAAGTTAGCCATAAGTGAGAAGTTGGAAAAGAAACCAAACAATGGAATTACGATGCAACTGGACTTGAATGTTAACTATACGAACTTTAATATAGAATAAGCCTTGATCAATTATGACTACATCTTATGAGAAATACCCAGTAACGTTCAAGTTGCTGAAAAAGTGACTATTCTCTACTTCCCAGTCAATATCTCTGCAGGGCTTAAAGAGGGTATGTAAAGCGAAATTACACTGAAAACTAGGATAAAAAAGACGTGTCTCCAAACATTTCCCCGAGTTTTCCCCCAGTGTTTATTACCATTTTTCGGTACATTCCACTCGTTTCACTCATGGACAAAACATTCAGCCCCATATGTGATAGATCTGGCCCTTAATCAGATTTATGACCCACTGTTGGGCCCGATGTTGCCCTATTTGATCTGACGGAAATGTTAACTGGGCGTTTCTCTGTGAAAATGTTGACTGAGTATAACCTGTCATTTTAGATCATTGCCTTCTGCGCTACAAATGTATGCTCTTCTCTCCCGAAAGCAATGGTAAGATATCTCCCAAATGCTTTCAGTTAACACAAAAGGACTAGAAAGATGGGAGTGTCCTCGTCCCAAAAAAAGTTTCATTACGAAAATATACGACATAAACTGGCTTTTGAAAGTTAAAGCTATATAAATAGTGACAATGACCTTTGACAAACAACACGACAACAACCAGCCACACGTACGACACACCCTTGAAAGGCTGCGTTGTCAAGGTCACTGTGCAGACTTTTAAATACAATATTGTTATTTTCAGATGGTCGTTAACCGAATAGATGAAGCCATCGCTTAACTAGCTTCCACGCTTAAAATCCTTGGACCTCTACATCTTTTGTTGTTACCTTGTGTACAAGTAAAGAAAGAGGAAACATTGGAGTTTTAAAAGTGAATATTCAATTAGTTCTGAGCAGATCCTAGCCATATGTCAAGTAAGCACCCAGAAAGTGTTTAAAGGAATCAGATGCAGTAGTCTGGATCACATCTGCAGGAAGCGCATCCCAAGGTTTACCAACTATTGGATGAGTATATGAGTGCAAATCGCTTACCACGAACATTTGTTAGTAACAAAAACTAATACACCCTTCCATAACTGTTTTCCCTCTGTATTCCCAAGCCCTGGTATCTGCAGTAGGACGCACCCATCCTCTTTATTATTACCAGTCACATTTATCTTGGAGCGTCACACACTTCCCCAAAATCAATAGCCCAGGGTTCGACGACACTCAACATTGATGCTGACCTTGATAGTTTAACTAGACTCGCTAAGCTGAAGGCACTCGATCAGGCATCCTCACCATTCGGCGCGCTGTCGTGTTACGCTGCACTGCTCATAATCGACTCTCTAGCCAGTTAGTTGGAAGGCATCGGTATCTTGGCACAACCATCTGAATATACTATTATATCCGACTACGCTGTCGTGTTGCTCCTTGGTCTCGTATTCCTGGGTATACAACAAGTCCGAATAATTAGTGATTGGTCTTTGCGTCTGTCAAGTTCACACCAGGACAAATTCTAAATTGGTGAGCCACACGTGATCAAATATCCCAAACAGTAACAAATGTTGAAATGATGAGCTTGTTCCACTTTATACTTGTATATTGCTTTCATTTTGATGACCATTATATATCCACATGCAACTCTTTCTGATGTTCAGCCACACTCCCAGGCCTATTCGAGAACTAGACGCGAGAGATCAAAAACTACCAGTTTTCTACGCTCGCACTATCAATATTGGATATTGGATATTGGTATCAAGCCGACTACGAACACGATACAAATCGTGCCATATTGGCCAGACAACGCGGAAACATGGTTTGTGTATGCCGAGGCAGATTTTGGAGAACAGGGAGTCGCAGATTCCCACTCTCGACTTCTCACCGTCATACGCTCACTACCACGGGAATTAAACATGTGTGTTACGGCACATATGTTTAGTCCTGAAGCAAGTGATCCTTATGCACTTCTCAAGGCCGCACTCTTGAAGAAAAGCGATCTCACAGATCGCCAGCGCCTAGACGAATTACTTCGTAACATCGAGCTAGGCAGCCACTCAGCTGCTGAAGTCTTTGCACGCAAGCGAGAAGTTATGGCTGCGTGGACATTCGACGATGGCCTTTTCCGAGAACTGTTTCTCTCAAAGCCACCACAACTGGTGCAAACCGTGTTGGTATCACTGCAGTCAGTCCCACTCGATGACCTGGCGGCCTCAGCAGATAAAATACTGGAGATTTCTGGCAGACCCGTCTGCGACAAACCAGGGAGCAAGCAAGATGTGCAACTCTGTTAAACAGCTGCTACTATCCCGAAGTCCTAGTTCATGTAGCATTTGACACAAACGCATCCTAGCGCATCGCAGCAACTCGCATGGTTTCCCAAAAACTAAACTTAACAGGGTGGAAAACCCTAAGTGGTACCGGTTTCATAATACTTACGGAGACGAAGCCAGAAAATGTCGGAAACCATGTGGTTTTAACAAGGACGCAAACTCGGAAAACTGTCACACCTGCACGCGTTCACGGCAACCGTAGCCGGCAGAAACAGCCGTTTGCTCTACGTCACGATATTAAAACGAAAGTTCGCTACCTTATCGACACCGGCGCGGAAGTTAGCGTTCTTCCCACACCGACGAAGGAGCATCATCATGTTCCGTCCTTCTATCTCCAAGCAGCTAACGGCAAGGCAATAGCGACATTTGGGAGACAGTATGCCTACCACAACTTAGGTTTACGTAGACCTATCCACTGGAGTTTCCTCCTAGCTGACGTTTCTACGCCCATCATCGGCATAGATTTGCTAAACCATTACGATCTACTCGTAGACGCACGCCGTCGGCGTCTGATAGATAACGACGCAACGTTATGTATTGGTGACACCACCTATGTGGGTCGGAGTTTGGCCATCGTTAGAACCAAACAATCAGGCGACGCGTGCTACCAAGCAGTTTTGGAGAAATATCCAGAGTCGCGACAACCGAAGCACAGTCTTCCGCGCATAACCAGCAATGTTATGCATCACGTGGGGCCCACCAATTTAGAATTTGTCCTGGTGTGAACTTGACAGACGCAAAGACCAATCACTAATTATTCGGACTTGTTGTATACCCAGGAATACGAGACCAAGGAGCAACACGACAGCGTAGTCGGATATAATAGTATATTCAGATGGTTGTGCCAAGATACCGATGCCTTCCAACTAACTGGCTAGAGAGTCGATTATGAGCAGTGCAGCGTAACACGACAGCGCGCCGAATGGTGAGGATGCCTGATCGAGTGCCTTCAGCTTAGCGAGTCTAGTTAAACTATCAAGGTCAGCATCAATGTTGAGTGTCGTCGAACCCTGGGCTATTGATTTCGATTTTCTTGTTTACTGGCAATGAGAAAATGCTCGTATATTTTTCTTGTTTATGTCAATTTTTCGACTGCTACTACGTATTGAAAACTTTGCTTAAAGAAGTCGGTGAAATTAGGTGTGGACTTTATTTTGGATGTTTTTATACATACACAATTCCCATTTTTTCTAAACGCTTTCATGATGTGAAAGGCTTCTGTTTATATTCCAGGCGCAACGAGTGCTGGACGGGACGTCAGAGGAAACTGAGGACCGCGATCGGTATACAGTTCGATTTATCGTATTTTGTTTTTTAATTTCCACGACACCCTAGAATAAGTTCAGACAGCCAGGGGCCACTTCATGCAGTGAGCCCATCGGAAGAGTTTTACCAGTGGGGGAACCACTGGGTTTTCACTTCCGGCTGGTATCGTCTTAGGGTCATCACAACCCCACTAGGGGAGGGGTGATCTGTGGCATCACACACACCGGAAATCACTAGCCTAGTGTTCGACGACACTCAACGTTGATGCTGACCTTGATAGTTCAACTGGACTCGCTAAGCTGAAGGCACCTGGTCAAGCATCCCCGCCATTTGGCACGCTGTCGTGTTACGCTGCACTGCTCATAATCGACTCTCTAGCCAGTCAGTTGGAAGGCATCGGTATTTTGGCACAACCATCTGAATATACTATTATATCCGACTACGCTGTCGTGTTGCTCCTTGGTCTCGTATTCCTGGGTATACAACAAGTTCGAATAATTAGTGATTGGTCTTTGCGTCTGTCAAGTTCGCGCCAGGATAAATTCCTAAATTGTCATCAGACGAACGACACATAGAGTCGGTGTTGTACTTCCGTGGCCAACCGTCTAGCCATTATTCACGAGTATTCATCATCTAGTATGTGGGTGTACATTAAATCTGAAGTGAATCCTGCAGGTTGGACCTCAAGAGGTATACGAAGTGCATGTGATTTAGCGTCTTGAATACAGGGTCCCCTCTTCCTAAGAACCCAACAGTTCTCAAGTACCATAGACGTATGCTGGAGGGGACCACCGAAAAATGTCGAGTTCCGGAGGTGGGTCCGAAGAAACACCAAAGTTACTGAGCTCACTTTTGGCCTGATTTGGCATGTCATTCGGACTGGGTTAGGCTGATTAAAGCTGTCACATGGCTTAAAATATATGTGGTCTAGGTACCTGTCATGTATTCACGTCGCCAGGGTGTGTCATTGAATGTTAGCTATCTAACCATCGATGAACTGGAAGCCGCTAAACATAAAGTAATATGTATAGTACAACAGGAAGTGTATTGAGGATAATTAAAGGAACTCCGAGAAAAGGGTGGTTGTGAGATTGAAGAAGGCGAGTTGCAAAGGTTTGCCACCTTTACTTATGAACGAATTGATCTGCGTCAAAGAGAGGTTGAACTATTCCGACTATCCAACACTTCTAAGCAGCCGGTTATTGTCCCAAGACATCACTTCGTGACTGAGCTGATCATAAGGCATTATCATATCATGGAAGGTCATACTGGTGCTTCGCAGGTCCTGGCCACTCCACGAAGGGACTTGGACAGTTAAGGTGATCAGTGTGGTTAAACGTGTGATAAGAAGGCGCATAGAGTGTCGACGATTGAAAGCTGCACTGGGTCAGATGATGGCCCCCTTACCGGTCTGTTGCATGCAGAGGGGATGGTCTTGCTTCTCGTCAGTGGGGGTTGACTATTCCGGACCGATCATGGTTCGCCAGGGAAGGAGAGAGGAAAAGAGGTACAGGCGTGTTTACTCGTCTCCAGACGCGAGCCACGCATTTAGAGGTAGCTTTCAACCCAGGCGCTGACGCCTTCATAATGGCCGTAGTGAGGCTCGTAGGAAGAAAAGGAACCCCTGCTAAGATATACAGTGATAATGGTTCTAACTCTGTTGGAGCGATCTCGGAAGTGAAGCAACTAGTGAGTGTGGGATAGACGGCGAATCAGTGATGCCATGGTGACAAAGAGGATACGATGGAGTTTCAACCCCCCGCAAGCGAGTCATCGAGGTGGGATATGGGAAAGGATGATACGTTCTGTACGCAGGTTATTGATGGTCATATCCAAAGAGCAGACTCTGCATGATGATACATTAGCCACCTACTTCGTGGAGATAGAGAGAATTTTGAACAATCGTCCTGTTGTCCCCATGACGGCCGACCCAAAAGACAAATTAGCTCACCTCCAATGGCTTACTGTTATTGAGAGATGGTGGAGGAACAGTTGTGGAGGGTGCTATGGCCGGTAAGTACGTGAGACGTTGGAAACAAGTTAACTACTTAGCTTATGTATTTTGGTGCCGATGGATGAAAGAGTGTCTACCATGCTAGCAAACTCGTCAGAAGTGGTTAGGAAAGAGATGTGG